AAATAGTTTTGAAACAAACCTTCCTCGAGAAGTAAATTGCTGGGTTTTCAATAATGACATACTTTTTTTAAAAATCCTTGTCAAAAATGAAGTAAAAAAAAATAGACGCATAAGAGATTACAATTTAATATTTAAGCATGAGAAATGTAAAAACGCTATAGAAATCTAATTAATCACTATTGAGGAAGACAACACTGAAAATATTACAATATGGTTAAATGCTAGGAAAAACAAGGAGTTGGACAGCTTTGATTGCAAGCAGTCTAACTGGTTTTAAAATTTTTCATTCTAACTTCCTCATTAGCTATTTAAGAGATTTCGATAATTTTTTGTTCCTTTCTTTCTCAATTATCAATTTGCAACCCCTTATATGTTAGATGCATTTTTAATTTCATTCCTGATAAGGATTTTATATATATATATATATATACATACATATATGTACACAGTCCAGTCACATTAATGTGACCACCTTTGGCAGAGCGGACCACTGCGAGACGTGCAGGAAGAGAGTCAATTACCTTTACTCTTGGTAGCCCTTTGGTTCATCTGGGCGGTCAGTCAGTTACACGTCTATTCGACCGAACGCATCTTCGTAGCCTTTGTCATCTACAGCCCGTGGTGCACCACAAGTGCCCCGCCGCTGATTTTGGATAGTGCCATTTTGCCATGTACGGTATAGTTTTACCACGGCGGCACGTGAACAGTTCACAAAATTAGCTGTTTCTGAAATGCTTACACCCTTGACCCAAAAGCCAATAATCATGCCCTTTTGGACATTGGATAAATCGCTATGTTTCTGCATTACGCCAACGAACAAAATTTTTTCCGATGCCCTAGGACATCCATTATATACACTCCACTGTAATGTGCTGCCACCTGCCTTCTTTGATTGGTTATTTCACGTTGAAAGTAGGTGGTTGTCACATTCATGTGTCTGGACTATATTTATATATATATATTGAGGAACGTGATTACGAAACAACCTATATTTAATATACTATTAGTTAAATATTGTTGCACACCTAGAAACACAGTTCCAAATTTGTGTTAACACTGCATGTATGAATTGTCTTTAGATTCAATTCTGTTAAAAATGAGTATGTTTAAGACTTGTTCCATTTGTAGTGATTTTGTACTCTTAATGTCCCTCCTCTCCCTAAAAAATACAAATATTTAGATTGCATGAACATCAGCAGATTCTGATTTATATTCTGATGGGCTTGATATTAGTAATACACGTTAAAATGTTACAAAGGCATAATTTAACAGCAGTTAGCTTTGTTCTTATGAAGAGATAAAATGGTATTGATATATGGATGCCTCTTTTTGCCAAATTTATACAACATATAAAGTACAAAAACAAAAATCTAATAGAGATTGGCTTTTGAAATAAAAGTTATTTATGACTAGAAAGTTTTTGTTGTTCCAAGGAGTTAGTACATATTAATGCCGATCCCTCTAGGGGTGGAGAAAATGTTTTGAACATTCATTGAAATTAAAATTTATAAGAATTCAGAAAAGAGAGTTTAACGATTTGACAAATGAAGTATTCTTATAAAAAAGACAAACTTTATGCATTTTCAAGGTGTATTTTTGTAATGTAATGTTGCAAATGAGAATTTTTTAATTATAGAACTTTCAGGTTTTTGGTTGTGTAATAAAAGCTCTTGTGCAACTACAACTACATTTTGTCTTGATATGTCCCTCATAAAAATTTCATTTAAAAGTTTTATTTTAAAAGCAAGTATTTTCCTTTTTCCATAAATTAGTGTCCCACCCTGTTACTTTTAAAATCATAAATGTATATTTCAAATCTTTTATTGTTCTTCAGAATAAGGATTTTATTTATTGTATTGTGCTGTTTAAAAACAAATGTTTTTAGTGAAATAAATTAGAAGTTTAATTTTCTGATCATGATATAACATTTTGTAAGACTTTTTTATCTATATATTTTGTTCAAAAATGAGTTTTTATTCTCGCTTACGACGCAACTGATTACTCTTTTAGATCTTTTTTTACTAATTTTGTAACAAGATTTAACTAGGCTTTGCCATTTAAATGTATGTAAAATAATCTACAAATTCTACTTGTGACCAACATTTACAGATCATTTAGTATGATAATAATTGCTGATATCAACTAAAGAGGTAAATAAAAATATTTTTTATTATTATATAAAAATATTAAGTTTTTTTTTATTCCTAAAAATTACATATAACACTTATCATTCACTTTTTAGAAATATATATTTTTAAAAACTAACTCACAATCATTGTTAAATAGGTGTTTATATGTAAATGACCTTTTGCACTATATTTTTTTGGATTTCTTTACATAATACCCATTTTAAAGCTCACTTCATTGAGAAAATTTTTTAAAATCTTTTAATAACAATGAAAATGATTTATGGAATAAAATAAGCCAAGTTTTCATTAGATTTTAGCAAACATGTAATTTTTCAGTATTAAAAACAAAAATCAGATACAAATTTTATAGATTATCTCAAATTATGATAACTGAGTGTTTTTTTGCGAATTTTGTGGACTTTAGTTTCAACTACAGAATCCTATTTTTATTAGAAATGCTTTTTTTTTCAAAGAGCGTTTGTTTGTTAGTTTCTTTAACAATTTTTAAATAATGTTTTTGTTGCATTTCTTACTATGCAATCTGAAGACAACTTATTTTCTTGCATCTAAACTTTGTTTGTTCTGTAATCAAAACAATTTTTGTTGTTTTTATACACTTTGATTGTTGATCTAAAGGGAATTAAATGTTTTGTAGCTCATTTTATTGTTCCAAAAATATATATTATCAAAATCTTAAATAGATTATTTTGAATTTTAATACTTGATGTAAAACAATTTGCTACTATTGAAAAATGCATCAGGTTGTCATATTTGTACTGCATGTGAATGAAATATTATCTTTCTGAAAAAGTAACTCAAGTAACTGTCTATCATGTTGTAGATATCTATAATATCTCCATTTTTCTTTTATACAGAGCTTTTTTTTTATTACTTATCTAAACTGCTTGATATGTTATAGTTATAAAAATTCTTCAAAATAACCAATTTTGGGTTATATTTATCTTCTCAAAAATTTATTGGGTGGTCTTAGCCATGGGTGCAAGTCTTCCGTCCCCAGGACGGATTTCCGTCTTTCGAAAATGTCCGCGGACGGAAGTAAGACGGAAACAAGACTGACTCAAAGAAGGAAATCGTAATTTTTTTTTTCTGTCCTTAAAAATATTTTTTAGGTCTACGTTATTGGTCTACTTTCTTATGTCCTGTTGTTATTTTATCAAAAGACAGATGAATAAATATTTTTTGTACAGTATTTAAACTTGATGTATTATGGTAAAGCTTTCTTAGATAGTTTGCTTATGTCGAGGGGGTATTGTGTATATTAGGTATTTCAGTCAAAATATTTTCAGTCTTGGCCTTTTTTCCAACTTGCACCCATGGTCTTAGCATCATCCGACTGAATTCAACATTTAAATATGTACTACTGTTTCCATATAAAAATGTTCTCATTTTATTGAAAAAAATAACTTTATATTTTGTTTATATTTTTATTTACAATAAATGTTTCTGTAATCTAGGCTTCTAATAATTATTCATTATATGTATGTGAATTTATTTGGGTTGTACTTGAAAAGTACTGGTATTTGATAATGACAGAAACCGATTTTTATCTATTCCTAAAACAAAATTCTACCTCTATAAATAACTGCAATTTTTTTATCATCAAGATATTGCATGAAATATAAATTAGCATTCCTTAGTACCCAATTTTTAGTTAATACAATTAAGTACTTTCACTACTACAATCATTTGTTGAGGGGTATGCAAGGTAGCCTCTATGGGGGAGAATAGGGAAAACCTGGAAAATAACCCCGTTCTGCCTCTCTGTAAATACAAAGAATTTAAAAATAACAGAAATGCAGTGAATTTTGAGTTTTTCTTTACAAACTGGGAAAATACAGGGAATTTTGTTTCATATTTTAAGAAAGGGTGACCGCTCAAAGTGCATTACATGGGATATTTAAAGATGATATTTCAGCTATACTATTTCATTTACTATAGCATTATTTAAATATATACAGCTGTTACTTTTTTCTCCACGTTTTTCCAGCAATTAATACCAGTACAGTTAGCTCAATATAGCTCAAAAAAGAGGACAATAATTGTGTTTTCTCTTAATATATTGTGTATAATATGTACAGGGAAAACACGAGTTTTTTTCTTCTTCCAGATTTGAGTGGGCAACCCTGGTTTGGATGAGAATGAGAAATCAATAAATGCACTTTTAATAATCTTTAATTTTAGGAAATATAATGATGATGAATATTTGTTCTATTTGTTAGGCACTTTTAAAATATGTAAAATATAAGGTTGCGGTTTAATCAAAATGGGACAGATATAGCATTTGTAATTTAATCAAATATAATTTTTTTTAAACAAGTTTATATTATCAAATTATACTATCAACATTTTCAGATAAGTTATTTTATATTATATCTTTTTCTGTTTTTTTAGAGTCATTAAAAATATCATTAAGGGAACTGAGATTTTTTTCAGTCAGCAGAATCTAAATTGCTCTTTTGCCATTTTAAACTATCATGAAACAAAATTTTAAAAAATTCAAATGAGGACAAATGCAGAGTTATTGATTGCCTATACAAAATTATTTAAGTCATAGCTTTAAATGTTTGAGAAAAAAATACACAGGCATTTTTAAAGTTTTCAAGTGTCTAATAAAGTTTCTCTCAATCTAATAAAGCAAAGCCATTAGTTTGAGAGTATATCATCTGTTTAATAAATTTTGACGCTTTTCTTCTTTTCTGCAGAAGTAATTTTTTCAACCAGGGAGAGATCAGAGATCAACTTGTAATTTAATTGTTCTTTGTTTACATTATGTTTGATTTTTGCAAAAATTAAACTGAGTGTAAACTGAAAAATATTTTCATTGCCAAAAAATAATTAAAGAAAAAAAAATAATTCAGTAAGATTTTATTTGAGTCAGATCAAGATAAAGCATGTACACATGAAATTAAGAGTAATTATATATACATTAACAGTATTTGATAAAACATAAGACAATATAAATATATGATATAAAACTTTGTTGTAGGGTTTTTTTTTTAATGAAGATGTACATGTATTTTTATGTTTATAAGTCAGTTATTTACATACAGATTTAAACTCTTATCACACTTTATGTAAGCATTCTAATATAAAATCATGTAATTTTGAGCGAATGGGGGAATCACTGTCGCAGATAACATGAGTAGAATGATCTTCTACTTGAATCAAAATTTCATGACTTTGCTGCAAAAGCAATGAAAGAAAATGAGAATATATAACAACATACATTTTAATAAAAGATGTTTACAATAGAAATTTTTTCTTTAGATATTAAGCTTTCAGTAAATTTTAACTTAGTGTTAGTTTTTAGGCTTTTATATTTTAATACAAAGAATTTTTCGCTTTATTGTCACTTGTTTCAGTGGGGTGTACACTATAGGAATGATTTCAATTAAATGGCACTGTGAATTATATCAAAGAACCTGCATCCTCTTCACTTGAAATTCTTACCTTCTTTAGATTGAGTTTACATCTTGCATTGGATAATGCCTATGGTTGACAAATTATGTTTTTATTTATTTATTATCAAAAGGTTAGACTAACTGTAAGAAATTTCAAATTATGAAAGATCCCTTGCTTGAGTAGGGTTAAAAAAAAAATTCTTACTAACTTAAACAATGTAAGTTGCATTACGACTCAATTGTTTATAATTGCTGAATGCCCTAAAATAAATCAGGTACCTATAACAAAGTCTTTCCCGAAGAAGGTTCTACATGATGCAACTAGTGAAATGTAAAAATAAATTTTTGTAAAACAAAATAACTGAAGGTTTTCTAAGATATTCTAATGGATACAAGATCTTTTTTATACACTAATTTTACAAAAATATTTTTTTTAAAGAAAAAAAAAAACTTGCAAGTATAATAGTAAAAATATAATTTATTAAAAAGATAGAATTAGCATTATAGTTAATGATAGACTTACCAAATCAATTATAAATCCAGAAGCTCTCTCTTCAACTTTAGCATCTGTTATACCTTCCTATAATAATGCAACATATTATTTTTCATAGTTGAATATTAAAATACACAAATGGCACAAAAATATTAACTTGGAAATCTTAAAATATTTTTTTTAAATTTACTTGGTTTTATAATAAAACTGAAATGGATTCAAGTATCACACTGAAATAGATTCTAAGCATATTAAAAAAATCATGAAATTGTTCAAACATATGAAGAAAGACTTATCTTTGAAATGGTGTGAAAAAATAAAGAGACATATAGTTGCTAGAAGCTAACATCAATCTTTATCCATTCAAAGTTAATCAAACCAACTGTTGAGTTTGAAAAATTCTAAAAAATATTTGTAACATTCCATTTTATAGCAAAATGCGGAAAAAAAGCTTTTTTGTGGGACTTTTCTCCCTATTATTTTAAATTTTAATCTTTCACTGCATAATTATACAGTTCTTTGATAGTTCAGTTTTTACAGTCTGTTTTAAATTTTCAAATTGCTTTCAGAAAAAAAAGTTTCAACTAGGGTATTAACATTATCATCACTTACTTTATTCAATTTTTGTATGAGCAACTGAATATCTAACGAATCACAAGCATAGGATTTCGGAAAACAGTAATCATTTAACATTTTTTTCTCTTTAGTGGCATCATCTCCAGAATTTTCCTTCAGAGTCTAAATGAAAGAATATAAATAACTGAAAATGATTAAGCCAAGTACCTCATAAAAATGAAAATCTATTCAATAAACAATATATTAAAGCAGTAATGTTTTTAGACAATATTTAATTAGTAGTCAATGCAAAATCAGTGACACACAGTTACATGTGACAAACTTTTGACATTTTTCTTCATTCAAATTATTATTGGTTTTATTACATATTTGAAATTCACTTCACTTAAATAATATTGCCAAGTGAAATAAAGTTTAATTTAAAAGTACAAATAGTTGTTTCTAAAATGAGCATTCCAGCAACAGCTCTGTAACCGAGCTTAAAAGCCCAAAAGCAAATATTTTCTTTAAAAGGCTTTTTATCTTTGCACAGACCTTGTTATATAATAAAACCGGTGAAAATATCTTTCCTTGCTTAGGAGATCACTTTACTTATGAGGCAAACGTAAATATTAAAATTGAAACAGTTGAGATGCTCAGTCCCATTTGCATTCTGTATTGCACACTGGCTGTCTTTACTTGTCAGACAAGCTGTTACAGCCACCAGGCATAGAGTCCTAGTCTTAAATACTAATAAATATTAACTGCAAGAGATAGATAAATCTGGCAATGGAGGGATTCAAATTAGTCAAGAAAACCTTTCTTTACTTTTAGATTTTCAATATAATTTATACACTTAAAAACATAAAAAACTTTCTAACCATACAATAAATTATGTTAATAACATAAGCCAAGCTGGAATCTATCTGGCAATACTTAATAAAACAAAGGTTTTTGTTTTAGGTCAACTATATTTGAAACTAACAGTTATACATATGAAATTAAAAATATAAATTTTACACTTAAAGCATGGTTTATGATATCTCTTTTGTAGAGATATTATTTAATTAAGGAAGTAAAAAGAGAAGTATTTAATATGAATAATTCAAGCTTGCTTATACATACCTTTAAATCAAATTTGTTATCTTTCACATTAACTTGACCAGTAAATGTAGATACAAATACACCTGGCCTACATTCTATAGGCATGAGACTGCCAGCGAGCTAGAAATTAAAAATATTTTAAATAATGACTAAATCAAATATTAATTATATAAAGCTATATATAAGAGCATTATTTTTATTTAAGTCACAAAATATAATAAAAATTAAACAATTCTCAAACTATAATCTTGATTTACTTTTTAACTAACACCATTTTGCTACCTATCACAAATTTTAAATAATATGTAAGGCGCAATTCTTGTTCAGATTAAGAACTTATGATATAATCATAAATGACGTTTCACATAAATATGTAAAGAATAAATTCTATAGAATATTTCAGTGTTAAAGACACACAGAAAGTAGGATTAAAATACACAATATACTCTTTTTTTTTTTTTTTTTGTAGATATAATAGTGTATGATTCATAAATGTTTCAGAGGATAAAAAAATGGTTTTAACTTAGTCTTCTCACAAAATTTATTAAAGCTAAAATATTAACACAATATAAAATACCTTAAATGACATAATATAAAAGTAAAAATAAAATATTTACGATAAAATAAATATTTACAGTAAAATAAATAACATTAAAAGTAATTATTTTATGTAAGCAATACTTCAGATTTATATCAGTTTATTTTTAAGTTTTCCTTCAAAATGATCATTAACCCATTCATGCCATCTGTCAGGCATACGTGTTGGGAAATGAAACACTTTCATCTCCCGGCTGACACCCTATCGTGTCAAATAGACTCAACTGCATTAAAAATTCTTCTAGTTTAAACCAGTAAATGGCTAGTAAAAAGCCTTTTGTTCTAAAATATCTTGTTTTTTTCTAGCATAATAAAAGAAGAAAATCAGATTACAAAACAATTGTGAATTCTACATAAACGTAAAATAAAACCTTTCATCAGCTAGAATAAAATAATACATAGTAACTTTTTTATGATATTTATATTTTATAATATTTATATATATTTCTATGTAAGAAATAAAAGGATTTATATTAAATACTATTTCATCAATTCAAGGAAATTTTAATATAAAATATAGTAGCAAAAAAATTTTTGAAAAAAAATTTGGATAAGGAGTTTAGAATAGCATTTATAAAAATATTAATATAAACATATAAAAATACATAAATATATAAAAAAAAATATTATATACAATACATAAACATATAAAAATATGATTTATTTAAGAGGTCAACATACAAGATAGACTAGAGGTCAATTTACAAGGGTCACCACAGGTTTCACTGTGCTTCATAAAATAAACATTAATAATAAATTTTATGTTAAGAATAAAAGTAACAAACTTCAGCATCCATATTCATTTGTTCCCATCTTCTTTTAACAGGCACTTTGACAATATCACCTCGTTTGAAAGGGATGAGATTGCACTCCTAAAATAAAACGTTTTTATTACATATTGCATAAGATAATACAAACATCTATGATAATAATAAAATAAAAAAAATTTTTAAATCTATGATTTAAAAAATTTTTTATTTGTAAATCTATGATAAAAATTTTATTTGTAAATCTATGATTAAAAAAAAAATTTTTGTAAATCTATGATTAAAAAAAATTTTAAAAAATTTGCTTTGATAATTTTTTTTTTTTTAAATAAGTATAAAGAGCACTACATAGAAAAAACAGAACACATAAAAACTTTTAACTTTGGCCTCAGATTGTCACAAACTAAGATATGAACTTAATTGGTTGAAGAGGTAGCACTGAATGCATGCTAATCATTTAATACAGAGGATTTTTAAAATTATGAAATTAGACACAAAAAGGTTTTTTTTTTCTGAATAAACACCTTTTCTATAGATATTTCACCCTTAAAATATGGAGAAATTAGTATCTGAAAAATGTGGTCATAAAATTGGTCATGAAAACGGAGAAAAAATAGGGACCATTGATAACTTTTTACACAATTCACCCTAGCTCTGTAATTATTTAAACAAAATAAAAAATTATGTTTAAACAAATCAAGAAATAATAATTTATATATTATAATATGCACCTAAAGTAAACTCTGAAGCCAAATTACATAGAATTTTAAGCTAATGAAATTATAAAAAAATTAAATTATTTTTTATCTCCCAGCTGACACCCTAGCATATCAAATAGAGACTGAACTATATTAAAAATTCTAGGAGAAACCAGTAAATGGCAAGTAAAAAGCCTTTTGTTCTAAACGCAAGAGCAAAAAATATTGAGATAGTAATAAATTTTATTTATAGAAATGATATTATACTTACTGCTTCAATAGTTAAACTTTGATCTGGCCTGTGACGATAAAGTGGGGAAGGTACTGTATACTGTTCTGGTAGTAACAAGTTAACTGGTTTTAATTCTCTGATCAACTTATTTGCTTGATTAAAACTCAAACTAGTATCAATCGGAAGATAAACTATCTAAGTTTGAATATGAAAATAAAATTCATTAATGAATAAATATATGATATATAAGTGAACAAGAACAAGACAAATAATTTTAAATATGCTTAAAAAACAATAATGCAGTAATATAATAATTGTATCACTTTTACCACAGAGAATGAATAACTATAGAGTTTATTTGTTAGAAGGAGGTGCAAAAATGCAAATTTTGATGTTTTTTACTGCTTATCCATTAAAATGTGCATTTGACAGTGAGATATATGCTTCCGATAATGAGGTATTACAACAATTTTAGATAGAAATACAGGTTTTAATTTTTGACAATTTACATATTCTAGATTATTTCTTCAAGCAAATTTCAATATAGAAAATATTTTTGATCAAACTAATATTACTAATAAGCAATTTATTTAAAATATAAAATTGCAATAATCATTTTCTTACTCAGTTTTCTTATTTTTGCAAATGTGGCTAAGAGCTTGTACAGAAAAAGTGCATTTTAAACCTAATACATTGCTTATTTTTTCTTTTTTGCAACAAATATTTTATAAATACAATGGAATCTATTTTCTTATTAAAGAGAATAAGAATCGACCTTGTTTGAGAATTAATTAATGCTCAAACATTTTTTACTGCTTAACAGAAATCGTACATAACCCAATGAAAAGCAAAAGTAATAAAATAAAATGAAGTAATAAACTAATAATTAATATTTCACTTTAAAAACAAACTTACTTTCATTGCTAATGGTTGGTAAGGTGCAAGAGCTTCCACGTAAGGAAAATCAGGTTCTGAAAATAAACAATTTTAAATTTAAAATAAAGCATTCAAGTGTTACTTTGTCTACTAGATGTTACAAATACATATAGGAACACTGTTATTTGAATATTAATATCATAATATTTATTAAACATTAGCATTTTATTCAAAGAAAAGAGTCTGAGTTTTATTAAGTTTTAAAAATACAAGTGAGCCTTGTTTATCCCAATACTTCTGTAAACTGAAGTCAATAATTCCAGTTTTTGTTTTAATCATTCTTATTTACATGGATATTTTTTTCTCAATTTCAATAACATGCTGTCGTATTTGCATCATTACATGAGGCCTTTAAAATAAATAAAAAACATGATTATGACTACATAAGAATGTTCATTATATGCGAGTGAAAGATAAAGCTTTTGTTTGGTGGTTGATTTGGTTTTACTATAGATAACTCATTGGTGTAATTTCTGTTTTTCTTTCTTTATCACTAATATAGTTTAGCTTATCCATCATGGCTTCCAAATCCACTAAAAGGAAGCATGTAGGGGTATCTGTGCAAGAATAATAGATCATAATACAAATGAAATGGGGAAAAAGCTTCAGAAAGCCTGAAAAGGAATCTGAGTCAATGAAATCAACTTCCTTAACATACTCAGCATAACAATTCAGAATTAGATATTGCATCTTTAGATGTTTTATCTTCATATGTTTATCATATAAATGTTATGCTTATATGTAGAGAAATAGTATTCTTCAATTATTTTAAACTATAAAAAAGAATTTATTTTGCATGTGTCTTCCTATTCTCAGGTATGAGAGTCTATCATCCATTTAAAAAATTTAATCATAAATGGAAGAAAAACCTCAGCTCAAAAAACCTTGCTTATATCTGATATAAAAACAGTACAAATGGAAAGAAAAGCATTTCAAGAAAAATAATTAATTTTAATAATTCTGAAAATCATTTTCAACCAATACACACCAAAAATTTCATTTAAAACATGACATTGAAATAAGCAGCTATTAAAAGAACAGCATTGAGCTTAGTAAATTAAAAACAAATTCCTTCTAAGACCAAAAAACACATTTAAGTTTTACAGATTACACTTTAAAGTTTCATAGTTGACTAACATAATATAAAAGTATGAAGGGGTAAAATTTTGTGCTTAAAAATAAAGGAATTTCAAAAGTTTAAAAACTAAACTTATACATACCAGTGAAAATAATTACATTATTTTCATTACTACCCCACAATTCCATGAAATGAACACAGTCTCCGAACCTCAGGGAAGGATGTCCAGCAAATACAACACAAGGAGTTCTAAACTCTTGGCTAAAGTTTTCTTCTACAAGTATTTATTAAAGAGTGTAAAAATCATTTATAGGTTAAAACACCTAACTGATTATTAGGAGAAGTAAACTATTTTTAATTAAATGAAGTTAAAAGAGTTCCTACTTAATTTCAAAAATAAAACTCCCTGACTTTTTCAGGTATTTCTGGAAATATTTGAATAAAGTTCAAGCAAATATATAGCAATATTTATATAAAGCAATATTTATATGAATTTTAGGTAGAAAACATGTGAAATTATACAATTTGATAGAAACAGAATTTTTCTAGACAAAGAAATTTGATAATATAATATAAATAAATTATAAATAACAAACATAAGATTGTGAATAAGAATAGAAAGAGGCATCATACACTGGGAGTTTTTTAGTGTAAATTAAACATATCCCACAAATAATTTTAATAACATTTACAACATAAATTTTCTTTTATCTATCTGGTCATATTCTCTACCATACATATGAGATTTAATATTTAATTTTGGCAGAATTATTTTAATTCCCAATAGTCTGTACAAGCGTTACAATTCAGACATAGAAAAAAAAACAATAATAATGAAATTATTGTTAAAAAATAAAAATTTAACAATAAAAATTCAATGCTCTAAACTGTTAAATTTACAAATGAAATTAAATATTTTTTCTACTAAAATAAATCATATCCACATTAAACTGGCTAAAATAACAAAATTAAAACATAGCTTATGTAGCAGATAACTCTCAATTGTTTTAGTTAATCATATGATTTCAAATTTTAGAATATTCTATGTATTTTAAAGTAAAATTTCAATAGAATGAAAAATATTTATAAAAAGGGTGATTTAAAAAAGAAATATCTTGGATAGATAAGTAACCAGGAAATAAAAATGAAAGCATAGTTTGGAAACAAGTAAAGAATAGGCACACTGCATATAAGAGATATACAAACAAGCAAAATACTTCAAACTTTTGAAATATAATACATATGATACTACTCAATACATTTATAAAAATATTTGGTGATCTTTTATGATTTTTTAAATACTTTTTTGACATTTTACTTACAATACAATATTATAAAATACAATAGCTGAAATTGCAAAAAGGTAATACAGTCAAACCCCGCTATAGTGAACCTTCAAGGGACCGAAATTTCGGTTCAATATAACTGGGACTTCATTATATCCGTTCCGTAAACAATTTTAACTAATGGTTCCTAACTCCCCCCTTTTATCACACATTATTTAAATAAATGACCAATAAAATGGAATAAAAATAAATGACTGAAAAATAATATGTAGTAACAAAAATGTGTTAACTTTTATTTTTTATTACTTTTTGTATTGAGTACAAAAAAATTAGTAAGCTGATGGGCAATCCTCAACATCAGATATGGAAACTCTTCCCGACTCTCCGATGATTTTTCCTGAATTTATGTCGTTCCACTTTTAAAAAACCCAGCCATTCGAGCACATAAAAGTAGTCTCAACAAATCGTCTAGCAAATTCGCTGGCTTTGACTTGAAGCATTTGTCCAGATACTGGAAGATTGCGGCTTCTTTGAATGCTGAACCAATTCAATAGTGAAGTAAAGAAGAAAAATGCTTATTGGTGCATACCATGCGATTGATGGTTTAAAAAATCAGTATATGTATTTAGTTTGAAGTAGAAGTTTCAAAATTATTACGAATAGCTTTCATAAATGAAGAAAAAATAGATCAGTCAAAGACAGAAAAAAGTTCATAATATCCAACTTCCTCTTTTTTTTTTGGTTCGCCATATCCACAAAAAATAACATTATACGTAGGTAGCAAAGCTTGGGAGCGAAAAATTGCGTTCACTATATTCGAGAGTTCACTATAGCGAGCTTTGACTGTATTTTGGATTGCTATTCAGTTACAGCCAATCAAGTTATAAATAAGCAAAATAAATTTCTAATTATAAAATACCTTTTAAGCTAGTAAAAGCTTTCAGCCTTCCCCCTTTTACTAGATGTGCATGAGGAAATGGTTCTTCAGGAGTATAAACTTTGCACTGTTTACTCTGAGTGAGCCTTGAAAAGTAATGTATAAGTTAACACACCAATGATGTATTATAAGTTGTAAAAACAAGAAATAAATCTTAAAAATCCAATACAAAACAAATAATTTCTAGCAATTTAAAATCCAGCTAGTATAGGGTGCGTAGCCAAATTATTCAACAAAAAATAAGCACCTTTTAAGCACATTTCAAACACTCAAAAAATATTTTTTAGCATTTTAAAAAAACATCATAATTAGGCAGGGTTGGAAAGTTTTTGACAATCGACAGTTTTATCTTGTTTTAACCGTCATGTCAAAAAAAATCCTTCTGGCATTGTTTTTTAAATTTTAAATAATGTAAAACGAATGGCGTTTTCATACGTTACTGACTGACTACACACTGAAATAGATTGGGGTTGAATTAATTATGAAAACGTTGAATAGAACAATGTGAACTGCGTCTTTTTGCATAATTCAAAACGAAAGTCAACATAATAAAGGCAAAATTTCATTTTGAAAAAGGGAAAATTACGCACTTTTTAAAAACACCCAATGAAAAAAGCACCTTTAAAGGCTTTTAAAAAACGAAAATCAAAAATAAGCACCTTTAAGCACTTTTTAAAAACTCAACGCACCTTGTAGTACAAAGTTCCACTTTCTACCCCCTATCGCATGAAACAAAAAACATTGGTTACGCATCATAAGTTAAAACACTAATTCAAAAATGCTTACTGTTTATTAATAAACTATATAAATAGGAAAAATGATTAAAAAGAATTAAATTATACAGTTGCGCATGGCAGACTGACAATGAGGAAGAGGTTGGCAGCGGGCAGCAATTTTAGCATTCCCCACTAAGAACAAATGGTTCCAACATTCCTCATTTTTTACTAAGTTTTAAAGTACAAAGGCCAGAGTGTACTGCATTTTTAATTAAAAGTTGACTTTGACAGATTAATGCCCATGGCACAATTTTTTCAATAATATCCTGTACATTGATCCTAAATCTTTTGAAACAAACTATAAAATTACTAAAGACTGTAACTTTTGTTCTACTTAAAAAGGCATTTGAAAACTGCAATAATTTTATGGCAGAATTTAACATAATTTTCTAGAGTACTTTTGATATTATTTTGAAACATTCAATTGAAACATCTTTCAGTTATGTGCATATCATAAATGAAATGTTAATGTATTAAAGTGGTTAAAAATTAGCATAAAAATTTATAAATATATAAATAAGAAAGTTAATCCATAAGCAATAATTTAAAAAAAAAATTCTAAATTGCAAATACAACTAGAAATAAAGAATGTAAATAAATTGGAGTATGGTTGCACCAGAAAATAGGGGACTTCTTAAAAAAATAATAATAAAATAAAATAAGAAGTTTTCCCTAATTCTGCAGAGCACTATTCTATCAAGTTAATGGAAAATCTTTAGTACAGTTGGCATCCTTATGTACTCATATTTTTCCGACCAGGCAATGGAAAAAACAGCAGTTTTATTAAACTAAATTTAATTAGCTGGTTTTGCTTAAACAATGAAAAAAAGAATCATAATGAATATAAGCAAAGAAAAAAAAATTCATTTTTAGCAGAATACCTTTAGTTAAAATACATCTTGATATCTTTAGTTAAAATATATCTTACCAGTCTGCCAGAATATTTGAATATGCTAAGGAATTGTCTGCAACTGGAGATAAGAAAAACATTGGCACAGATAAGTTCCCAGTAGTTTCCAAATGTGAGGATAAACACTCAAACAGATCAAATGTAACTCCAGATGGATAACAAGGTATTAAAACATTCCCTCCATTTCTTACGGTCATAGCTGTAAAAAGTCACATTTTTAATCATCAGTGTATATTTTAGATTTTGTCTTCAAACTTTCATAGTTTTTAACAATAAAAAAAATTTGCACACCTTAATATGTTATAATTATTATTGAATAGAATATTAAAATATTAATAAAAATTTTAAGAAATTATTTTTGCATGAAATTAATTATCTTTGGAAACAATTTTTATAATGATGTGCAAAATTGCTTTATTTAGCTTAAACAGTTTCATAGATGTAGTGAAATTTGCTAAAAGTAATATTAATTTTGCGGGGGTAAAACTTAAAATTTTTGTACATACTAAACTATTGAAACTATCCCCCACCATTTTGAAAATTAAATTTAAGAGGAAAAAAAAAAGAATGCTTATTGATAGAAAATACATTTTAAAATTTAATTTCACATTTTAAATTATTGTTTGCATTAAATAATTAGCAAACGTAAAGTCAACTCCTTGAGCTAAAAAATTTCACGTTTTTACAGGAAAATAAAATCATTTGATAAAAAGTTATTTAGGTATTTCATTTTCTATATTTCTGGTGAGTAATATTTTAAGGGACAATAGTTTTTAGTTATATATATTGTTATAAAAATTAAATAGTTAACAGAAGTAAGCACAAGAGGAAAAGTATAGTTTTATAACATTAGCTGTAACCTTTGTTTAAAAAATAGCTCCCTTTTTTTAATGCCAGGATCTAGGGCAATATTTACATATTCTTTCCTGCTATAAAACAGAAATAGTGATTGGCATATAAATGAGGCAATTTTGATGTTCTCTTAAGAAAAAAGATAAATTATAGTATTTTAAAACAATTAACTATAAAAAAAGGATGATCATGTATATTGCAGCAAACTATTTAAATATTAAAGTAGAATCTCAACTATCCCATGCCTGAGCATATGACACTTTGGTTATGCAAATCATATTAAAAACGTTCTGACACATGCTACATTATTAAAGCTTATGTTACCCAATTACTGAAGTAATGACAAATCAAAAATTTTACGGCAGATAAACGACAATCAAACAGCAATGATAATTCTTTCATAAAAAATACTCGATAATAAATTCAATTATTAATTCATAATAAATTTAATAATTACAAAAATGCAATAATGATTCTTTTATAATATTACATCATTATTTATGTTGGAAAAATAAGACGAAAGTAAGTGGTTTTAATTTAAACTCTAATATTGTCACTACTTACTTTGAGTAATTAAATAGGTGTAGTTTAATGTTTATAAACTTTAAAAATTGGCTTAAAAAAGTGTTCCAATTATCTAATATTTTTTTTAACTTTTTACATGCTCTTGACCGAGGATGACGGATATCAGGGTTTGACTGCATTTAATAATTTATAACTATTTTCAAACAATAAAAAACATTTACAAATGATAAAATTATACAGAAAAAGAAATCACATGACATACCAACAGTAACGCAAAGTTCTCCAAGCATTGTGTCAGGATTTGCTAGCGGTGTTTGAGTCAAGCTGCTGAGGATTAGAGCATTGAAATTTTTTAAAGGTGCATGTTCCATTGGTTTTGGATGAGTTGTTAGAGTAGATGAGGCAGACACATAACCAATCTGTTAAAAAATTTATTAATTATACAAATGAACTATACAAATCTGAATGATATTTTCTTTAAATTTATACATTTGAAAGGTTAAATTTGAAATAATTATGGCATAAAAAAATATGTACATGAAAAGAATATAGTTTCAACCATAATCTGAATAGTGAAATTTTTACATAATCACAATAATAAAATATTTACATATCCTCATCAATATGATTAAATAACCTTGAGAGAAAATTTAATCAGAGGAAATTTCTTTAATATTCTGGGTTTAAGCTCAATTTGAGAAAAAAAAATTCCTTGAATTTTCCTAAAAAATGTCAACGAAATTCCAGGTTACAATTTTGGTATACATTGCAATATTTCTTAAGAAAAAAACCACTTTTTTTTTTTAATTTTGTTAGCAATAAAACTTGACCCTAACGCACAAAGTAAGCAAAACTGTGACATCAATTACAGAACAATTTATGTTTGGTGACCAACTATTCTTGGCTATGTCCCCTGCAAAACAATTTTTGTCTAAAATACACTGAAAACTTTGGATGATGTTAATAATTTTTGTTTGATTGTGTAGACATTCTTTATTTAATCAAGATTCTTTTTTGTACAATTTCAGTAGGCGAAAGAAAATAATGTGATTTTCTTTCATAAAATTTGTTAATAATTTAATTGGTGAGAGTTGCCTCCCTGCAGAACATTTCTAATTATCAAAAGTCTTGCAACAAAACGTCAAATATAATTCTGCTCCAAAACTTAATAAAATATAGATGATCTTTATAGTAATGTATATTTAGAAATCAGACTTTTGTGTTATAATGACATATGATGCGCTATAATTATAAAATATAGAAGATGATCTTTATAGTAATGTATATTTAGAAATCAGACTTTTGTGCTATAATGACATATGATGCTCTATAATGATGTGTGATCATTTCACATATCATTACACTTATCTGTTAAACATAGCAAGATAACTGTGGAATAGATCAATTTTAAAACTTTAAAATAATTTTTAAATATATATACACTATAAAACACAAATATATGCAACCATGTATTTATTGCATAAACTAAATTGTATATGCAACAAATACTTAATTATTTGAATTACAGAAAAAAATTGAAATTATTAAGAGCATTAGATTATAAAACAAACAAATTTATTAATTATGGTTTGCTTTACTGATTATAAACTCTTAGAAAATAATATTTCTTTCAAACTGCTAACAGTTAATAGTTTTTACTCAGTAATGGAAATTTCTTCAATGCAAATTTTATTGCTTATACTGCTCATTATGGAGAATTTAATGCTCTTTATGGAGAATTGTGTTTTATAGAATTGCATTATATGGATCTCTACTACATAACAGTTTGCAAGAAACAGAATCTCAGTAGGTGAAATAAGCCAGCAGGTTAACTCATCATATATTATAGCATGCTAATAGAGTCACAATAGTCATGCAGCCATGACATATCTTACTCGTGATTAAAAACCAATATCAATTTACACAAAAGGCTTAGTTTTCAAAATAAATTGATACCTAACTAGTAAATAAAATTGTATAACTGCAAATAAGGTTATATTTGACAAAAAAAAATGTAAATAAAGCAATGTTTAATAAAAAAGCCTTTTGTACAAATTTAATTACTAAATAAAGTTTAGAAGTTTTAAGACAGTGAATTTTAACAAGAGATAAATGTAATAAGAAATAATCTGATCATTAATAAAAACAATATATGAAAATTGAGAAGATAAAGTGATTAAGGCACTGAGTTGTCAGTGTGAATTACTGATTCTGTTTCCGGTGATGGCTTGAACCTCACCCAGCTTCAGATCAATAGGTACCAACTTATCTGGATAATAAAGACAACTAGTGTGCCCTGTTAGCGGTTAGGTGGCGCAGTTGGTTTGTCGTCGGCCTTCTGATCCCAAGCATGCGGGTTCGATCCCCGGCCTAGACACCGGATTTTCGGGATGTAGAAAATCCTCAGCTGCCATGTTGTATGATTATGCGGCATGTAAAAAATCCCTGGAGTGCCTTATTGGTTCTTGGCATTTCCGGCAAAATTAAAATTCCTAATGCACTTTAGCATCCAAATAGAGTTTCGGTGCTGCCATCTAGTGTGGCAGAAACTAGACGTCCAAATTAACATGGCTAACTGTATCTCATCGATTGAGGTGGTGCTGAAAGAGTGGATACTACTTCTGGAGAACGCACTAGGTCTGCTCATCGGGAAGACTGATTGTGCAGCTCATTGGAAATAAAAATTTAAAAAGAGTATGCCCTGTTAATCTGTTAATCCCATTGCTAACCCCATGTGGTTGGTCACAAAATTGTGGAGACATAATCTCCTTAACATCTTTGGCAGAGAAATTCAATATAGTATATATAGGCAATGACAGTCGAGTATTCTGGAACACAGGAAATCAGGCAAGGAGAAAAGAAGATGTTATTTACTAGGACATGTTAGACTCTAAGCAGAGTATAAAATTATGCACTAAAATTGACGTGCTTCACTTTCATAACAGAGAGAAGTCTCACAAGTTCTCCTTTGCCATCTCTTAAGTCATATAAAAAGGGAAACATTATTAATTATAATAGGTCTGTAGAATAAGTCAAGGAATTTCTCAAAATTCCATGTTTTTTTAAGAGAAAAACTCAAAATTGTTAGCTTAGCATCCTTTATTTTTAAGACAGGGTGTGAATTACTAAATATGATAATAGTTTTCATTCAGAATAATGAGTTAGGGGAGAGAATTTAAGCAAAAATAATATAAAAAGATACCTGATCCCATAGGCGCTCTGTAACATTACCTTTTCGTGAGCTGTCCATAGAATCCAGTTACAACTGCCTAAGCAATAACCTGAACTAACAGCTGATATTTTCAAAGCCCCAAATACATCCTAAAAAAGAAATATTCCATAATAAACTCAATTCCATAGTAAATACAAATATTGCTTAGTAAAAAATAACATGACTATAACAGTTGTTTTTTGAAATCTCCAAAAGAGCACTGAAAAATCGAAAAAAATGCCTTTAAAATACAAACAAAATTCAATTAAAATTTTTTGATAATAAACTTAAATCCAAGTACACACAAATTTTAAAAAAAAAAAAAAAAAAAAAAAAACATGATTATTAAATTCTGTATTTTGATGACTAAAAAACTCCTTCTCCCCAAAAAATGCCCTTAAAATAAAAAAACTCCATTAATTTTAAACAAAAATTTTAATCTAAAACATTATTTCTTTCTTAAATTTAATGTATAATAGTATTGAAATATGCATATTAATAGACATCATGAATAAATTTTCATTTAACTTTGAAACGAATATTAAATTGGGAAAAATAATATGCAGGTAAAACAAGGTTCCTGAAGATAATGAAAATTATAAGACAAACAAAAATATTTGAAGAAAAGAAACAATACCAAAAAATTCTTAAACATAAAAAATACCCCAGAAAGTAATAGGTCTATAAAAACTGATACCTTAAAATGAAGGAAAAAATACCCACAAAATCTCAAATCATAAATTTCAATAAGTAAAAAAATGCCCAAAAATTTTTTAAAAAATGACAGAAAAATACACAAATAAGGGAGAGAAAAAAAGGAATAAAAGTCCAAAATTGAATATGTCATCAAAATGTAAGACTTAGTGCTTGGCTTCTCAATCAAAATTTAAAGAAACACAATTCTAAAATATAGAACCATAAAAAAAAACTAATCATTAGATAGGACACTGAAATATTAGAAAGAGATCAAACTGAAATATCATTAACAGCATAAAATTTTTGAGAATGTTAATGCTACTACAGGTTATGTTAATACTACTGCCTTATTTTAAGTAAATAAATCTTATTTAATTAATAATGCGTATTACTAGTTTTTGAGCAAAGCCAACAACTTGAACTTTAGATAGACTGCTGTTAACTTCCTTCATTGAATAAACTTGCTTCCATGATCTTGGTTTGAGAGCTTCATTTAAAGGTGGAGGTAAATTTCTGAAAATAAAAAAAATTTTGAAAACCTTTTTTTTTTATTCACAGTAAAAACATGTTTATAAGTGATCTTAAAAAAAACTAAATTACTATATATTTTTTTTCTTTAATTTCAACAAATTAAATGAATAAGATAGAGTGTTTCTACATTTAATAAAATCAAGAAAAACTAGTCGGATTTGCAAGAACACCATCACGTTTTACTCTCAACCTGGAATCAAGAATTATAGAGTTAAATGAATAAGCGACAGAAAACTATTGATAGTTAATAAAGACCATTTTTAAGGATTTTTATTCATACACAATTGTTTTCTAAATATACTATTAATGATAGCTTACTAAAACGAGAAAAACCAACATTATTTTTTTAGTTAACCTTCTATGTTTTAGTTTTGAAACTTTGATGACTGAAAGCAATATTAGAAGTCGAAAATGCATTATGTCATAAAAAATTTAAACAATAGAAAATTAAATTAACCACCTTTTTTCCATAAGATCATTTAAAAAAAACAGTAATATCTATTGTTAATACTATGAGAGAAGTGTCTTTTTGAAAATATTTAATGGAATACAAACTTCGTCAATATTTATAAAAATAAATATATTTTCTTTATTAAAATTTATAATTACAAAATAAATGGAAAAAGATCAGTTTAAAGCTTTAAAAAGAATATAAGTCTATTTGCTTTTTTTCATTTTTTGCAACAATTGTTTTTTCTTTTTTGCTTAGGAAATTCTCCAAAATCTTTGAAAAAATAGATAAAACTCGGCAGTGATTATTGTTAATGAATATAAGAACAAATGAATATTTTTTAACAAAATTGAGGTCACTTTTAAAATAGTTTAAAACTTTACTTATAGGTTGGGTTTCTAATAACAATTAAAAATTGAGAAAAATTTAAATAAATTATTCTAGATCAAACTAGGCCCGTTCAAATGGTTTCTGGGGCCACTTTAATCACAAGGAATGTTGTAGTGGATCATTTTTCAGGTAAAAATGCTTTTAAAAAATATATCGAATTTTTTGTCAATTTTGCAGTTTTTTTTAGTAAATTTTTTTTTTTTACTGTTAATTAATAATGTGTTTATATGCTGCAATTATTTTTTTTTACTTTTAACATAAGCAAAATAGTTGATTGGTAAGTTAATTTGTTTAGAAAGTAACGATTCTGTTAGTAATATTGAATCTTGCTGTTACAGGCCCATTTTGCATAAAATACCAAAGTAATTTCCCAAGGATCGGCAAAAAAAAAAATTTCATTTAAATTTATTATAATTTAGAGAATTTTTCTACCAAATGACGTTAAAAACAAATGTTCCTTGAAGACTACTATATTTTTAATAAATACAACAAGTACATGACAGAATTTTTAATGCTCTCTAACTGAAAAATTTGCCACCACAACACTGATAAAAAAAATTTCAATAACAGAAAATAAAATCATAGCTTCTGAATATACATACTTTATCACATGAGGTTGTTTCCATCTTGTTGCAGATCTAATTTTTGGTGTTCTTTCAATCAAAGTAACTAGTTCTTCCATAAATTGCCTGAAAGATACCCAGATGAAAAAACTTTGTACAACAAATTACTTCGCCAAATACAATAATTTATCGATTGCCAAAGAGAATTTCAACATAAGGAATAGATTCCCAATTGGAATGAAACTCTAAGAGAGGGAGCCTTTCAAAACCCTATTTTTAAAATGGGTGACACACAATTTCTGAAAAAACTAATGCTCTGATCACATTCAAATTTTCTACACTTCTTTTATATAGAGTTGACTATCAATTGAACAAAAACTATTTATCTTTTAAGAGCACAACTTATTGTATAAGACTAATCTAAATTTTAAGAAAGATATTTTCTTCTGCATGCAATTCCGTTAAAAGTTCACATTTCAATATTTTTTAAATCCATAATTCAATATCTAGTCAATTTTATCTTAAAAAAGTTCAACAAGATTGGTCAATAATTAGTGTTTGAGAAATCGTGTCTAAATTATCATACTTTTTTCTAAGGGGCCACGCAAAGGTTAAATTTTAAAATTGCTTGATTAAAATTTTATAAAATATAGTCCAAATGTTGTTCTTTTGCATTTTTAACGTTTGAATAAAATAGATCTTCTACTTAAAAGATAATTAAAGAAAATATGTCTCTTACAATCTATGTAATTCATTAATTAGAAAAAATAATAGGACAATTATTTTCATCATAAACAATAAAGAAAAGTAAAATAAAAAATAAAAAGCAATATAAAATAAGCAAAAATACAAATTAAGTGGAAAATTTTAGGAAAATCCTTGTTAATAAACTGCATTTTCTGATAAATAAATATAAAAAATACAAATCGTATTTTTCATTTTTCCTAATTAGTACTGTATTACAAATATGTGTTCTAAAACGACAAAAAGCATTAAGCCAAAGATGCTTCAGAAATGAAAGAATTTAATTTAACAGGTAAGACTACAATGTCTCATGAAACTGTAATTAAATATAGCACACAATGTCCTGATGATAAGTTTAGATAAAAAATTTATGAGGAGAGACCTTTTAATTCTGAAGAATTTTTTTTGTATAGAATGATTAAATGTTAGTAATGGTGACATTTTAATATAAGATAACATACATTCATCAAATAGACTCCCAAATTTACCAGTTTTGTGAAGTTGGGATGCTACTCACAACATTTTAACATCTTCTAAGATTGCAAACATTATGTTTTCTCCCTTATCTATTTTTAAATAAGATTTCAAAAGTACTTTCTTCATGTTATACTAATCTGTTTTAGATAAATAAAGAAAATGTAACATTAAAGATGTTTTTAAATCGTTGCAGTCGGAGTTAAACAATAGATTTCACTTATTTAAATTTTATCATGGTTTAAATATTTTAGAATATTTTAATATATCTAGGGCAGAGAGTACTCACTACAAAACAAGCACAGAATTTTTATTAAGCATTGCCAAAAAATACAAAAGGATATATATATATATATATATATAAATATATATATATATATAAAGAGAGAGAGAGAGAGAGAGAGAGATTATCTAGTTAAAATACATTCTAAAATGTA